CTGGGTAAATGCAGTGATTCAAGATTCTCTAATTCTGAAATTCTGTGTCCAGGCAAGCTGTTATTTAAGTGCCAGAGCCAGATGACTATCATTTTATCTAACATTGCATTCCGTTTACTTCCAAATAAACCTTTTTCTGAAGAAATTACTTAAATATATGATCCAACAGATCATGGTAAAAACCAAGGGAAAATGCATAGCTACAAGAAACAATGAAACTGAAAATTTGGATGAAAAAAAAAAATTCATGCTATGTAGAAGACATAGAAAACGATTAGTTTAAATTAAATCAGGACATCAGTGGATTCAAAGATGAGTATCATTTCAAGGAAGAATGAACTACATTTAAAGCAATGGAAAGAGTGACTGAGGAGCAAATGCTGTTAGTAGCATAATGAAAAAAGCATTTGTGCTCCCTCTCAATGAGTGAGGCAGCCAGAAACAGTACATTTATTGCTGACATGTGAAGAAATTAAAATGTAGAATGATTTTAAACAATTTATACAGTATAAATAAAAGTGACTTATTTCACCTAGATATTAGGAATTTTTTATTGATTCAGGGTTTATGAAACAGCTGAATATAAAGAAAAAATTTGCACACATGATTCTAAGCAACAATTAAACTTATATGTGTATATGTGTATTTTTATATAATTCAGATATTTAATAAGTAAGTTATGCACACTTAGAATAAAACTGAAGACAAAATAATGAAGACATGTCATTGCAGAATAAAATGTAATTTTCTCAACTTGATGTGTTTGGTTTTCAAGGAGACATACCCAGTTCATTCTTTAAAATCTACTGGAAATATCTTTTTCTTTTTGAAGCTACTCTGATTTTACCCTCTCTGTGCTTTCCATCTTGTTAAAATAGTTTCTTCTCCTATTGCCCCAAAGTTCTTTGTTTGATTCTCTAATATCTTCTTAGATTATAGTAGCCCTCTATGAGTTTTAGATACTCAAAAGCTACTCTGTTAAAGTGCTTTTCACATAGGGGTTCTGGATCCAGACTCTTTGGTTTGAATCTATGATCCTCCACATGCTATGTGAATTGGGCAAGTGACTGAACTTCTGTGTGCTCCAGTTTTCTCATGTGTAAAATGGGAATAACAACAGTGTCCATAAGGTCGATGTGAGGACTGAATGAATTAGTACATGTGAGTAGCATACAGCAGTGTCTGACAGATAAATATGCTAGAATACATATTAGCTCTTTCTCTTATGATGACTGTTGTATTATATATTGGAGATGACATCCATTCAACTGATTTGCATGATTATAAAACGTACTAATTGATGATCACGGAGACACATACTATGTAGTTTATCACCCAAACAAGGATACTTTTATGAGTGAAAGGGCTGTGCTATTAATAATTGGAACCAGGTAACAGTTAATAAGCCAAATTATGTTTACCCTATTAGGCCTTTGTGTTATGCACCCATCACTCTGCTCACTTTGTCTTTTAATTAATAGGCCTAGAAATATTAACTCAAAGTTTTAGCTACTACCATCTGTCTTCAAGCTTGGGTTACAGCATTCACTTTTCAACTTTAAAAACGTTTTTCTAACTAATCAAAATGCTATTTCAAAGTGTAAATGATCATATTTCTCTATTTTAAAAATGCTTCAGCAGTTTCTCTTTTCTTCAGACTCTTCACTGTGACCCTTATGGCCCTCATCATCATCAATATCATCAGAGATTACTATTACTATCTGTCATTAGCAGCAGCAGCAGCAGCAGCATCTTAGTTCATTTTCTATGTCCTAAGACTTGTACTGAATATTTTATGTGGAATTTTCCTTTTAATCTTCACAAAACCTCATGAGGTAATTGTATTATCCTCATTTATGAAACGGAGAAACTGAGGTTCGGAGAGTTTAGACTAATTGCCTAAAATCATACAACTTATGAGAGATAGAGTCAGATTTCAAAGACTGATAATCTGATACCAGTGCCCTTGGCATTGATCTTAAGTTATATCACCTCCCCAATAAATGTGTTGATTAAAAGTAAACAACTGTATGATTGAGTGTCTTTTCTTATCTCCTTTCTGTTGCGTGTCAGCCTCGTTTCCTGCCACTTCCTATGTCATCGTGTACAGTCCAGCCATTTTGATCTTATTTTCTTTGCTCTGAAATGCATCTTTTGCCTTTGAGCTTTCACACATGCTGCACCTCTTCTTGAAGCATTTTGCCTTTCCCAGTTTCCCTGAATAATACCTCATCATCTGTGAAGTGATAGATTCGGTGATACTTATTCTGTTATACTTTTCATTATCTCCTCCACTTTTACTTGGTGCCGCATTCTGTTCTTGCAGTCATGGTATTGATCACATTCTGCTTAAAAAGTCAATTTATATGCCTCAGTCTCCCAACTAGATTGTAGGTACCATGAAGGCAAGTACAGTGTCTGCCTTTTCTTACCACAGAATTCCTAGCATGTTGGTGCATAATAAACACTTGAGAATGTATGAGAAAACTTGTATCAGATGAAGTTGAGCGGACAGATAAGACTTTATTCAAGACTATTGCAAAGACAGGGAGGTATTGAACTTATCTCTGCTGAAATACATGGCAGGAGATTTTTCAGAGCTGAGATGAACTGGTGAAAAATGACTAGAGGGTGTTAGGCGGAGGTTAGTCAATATGATGAGGTCATTTGTGTTTGTAAATAATGCATATTCTTAGGCTCCTACCCTTACCTAGAGAATTGGAGACAGAGGCATCATTTCTCTTGATGATTATCTCTTAAAGGGAAGACTCTCAAGTCTTTGAGAAAGACATTCCTGGGTTGTAAAATTGGCAAGAGATTAGGAGAAGATTTATAACTCAAAGGGCCAGAAAAATAATTCACAATTGCAAGTTTAAAATAAATGCTCTGAGAAAAGGGAGGTTAGGGGCCTAAAGTCAGGAAAAGACCTATGTAAAGTTTAGTCAAGCCAAGGGGAATTGTAAACTCACCTTATTCGAGATCTGTTTATCACTGCAGGGAGGGAAGGGAAAAAAACCTTGACCTGAGAAAAAGAATTCAAGTGGAAGACTGAAAGCATGATATAAACAAGGATTTTTTTTGGGGGGGGGAGGTGAGAGGTGATATTTTACTTTTTTTTTAATTAAAGTATAGTCAGAGCAAAAGTCAGTAGAGTACACCTTCAAAAACTGAAGGCAGGCAACCCAAGAGGGGAAAAATGGCCCCACTTCTTTGTTTCTCCTGTCTTACATCCTGGCTTTAAGGGTGTTCTTGTGATTGACTGATGGCTCACGCCCCTTGAGTGCTCAGGCATGCCCAGTTCCTTTGCGCATGGCCTTGCCAAGGATGCACACAGGAAAAACCTGCAGGAGGGCGCCCAAACCGCAATGCTGATATACACGGTAAGGAGCATTGGGTTACCTTAAGTCAGGTTCTTCTCTCTACGTGCAGCTGCAGCTTTCAGTTCTAACTAGCTTCTTTGTTGACGTTCATTTAGAAAAAGTAAAACTCTCTGAAGCCCCTTATCCTAAGCACAGGCGCACTGTTATTTTCTTGGTTGTTCCTGCCCCTTCCTCTCCCCTTGCCCAGTGCTCATTTCTAACTGCCTAAGATGTATGTGAAATAAGTGGATAATTAACCAGAAAAGTTGAACACTCATTATACACTAACAAATTTTGACATGTATTGATAAGGACTGTTACCTGACTTTGTTTTACAGAATTTAAATAAAGTTTTAAAAAATAAACACAGGACATTTAGCTTTTTAAATATTCAAACTAGTTGTCTTGGTTACATTTTCAAATTATTTTATTCATAAAAAATAAACTAACATTATTATAATATGGTGCTTCACAAGTAGATTGTTTTAATTGAACATTTTAGTTCTCCAATACTGAAACTTTTATAAATTACTGATGATGTTAAAGTGCACTGTAAATCAGAGACTCAATATAAATATTGTCACTGGAGAGAGCAAAAATAATTTTATTGCCTGCCAACTGAAGTTCTTGCATATTTTAAATGGTGTTTAATGCTGCTTAAATTATTGTGGCTGCAAAGGACATACATACAATCTAATTAAACCTGTGTAATTTTCGAAGAAGATAAACTTAGTAGTTACATTAATATTCCTCAAAGTGTCATTGAATATAGTAATTGGTAATGTTTTCAAAGTATCTCACTTTCATTTCTTATACATTTAAAATTGTATGAATCACCTCAAATATAGGGCAGCAGTTAATTTAGCTAAATTGATCATATTGTACATTCTTTAAATTATATGGTTTATTTTATTTTCCTTTCCAGCTTTACCCCTGTCTCTCCCAATTCCAGATGCATGTTTATGGAGGTTAATCCCAGACCTGAATTTCATTAAATGACCGTAGCCATAGTTGAGTTTCTACAGTAATGAGTTCATTGGGCAGAAATTTTGCAAAGATATGGGAGGAGGAGGAGGGGTAAATGTTATCTACATTTGAAAGGACCAGATTTACAAATCAGTACTCTTCAATGCAATTTTTTTCTCCTTGACTAACTGGGCATTTATTTGCTTGCATTCTAAGTGGCAGTGGCATGGGAAACTAAGATTTTTGTCGTTTTGGTTTAACACAGACTCACCCAGAAAGCACAAGCCTGGTTTTGCATGAGAAGGACTGTTAACCTAAAACGTGAGTACTGTTGATTTCTTTTATTTAATTCTACCGTGTGCTATATAAGACCTTGTGATATGACGTGGCCTTTATTAAGATATGCAATGAAAGTCTTGATTGAGTGTAATTGTAGACTATAAGAAGGACAGAAAGTAAGAATTGATATATCATTTTATTGGTGAGTTTAAAGAATTCTAGTAATTAATAGATAACTTTGGAGACGATATATTTGTGCTCGTCACTGATACTAAGTGTAAGTCAGATAGCTTTGTATAGTTTTGATATTCCAACTTATTTATGGTTGATAAAATATTTAAATATAATCCCTTATTGTTAAGTACTTGGAGTATATATTTAGCATCTCAGTTTTTCTCTGGATTTTTCCAAATGGAGTAAGGAGTCGGTTAAAGATAAAAGCTTGGTGCATCTTCCTTCCTTGTTCTGTCACGGCTCTGTCTTACTAATTGTTGGCGTCTCCTTTCCCTGTTTGGCCTCTGATAAGTTGTCTTTGAGAACCTGCTGTTTTGTTCTTGAACTCTGCCATGGCTACAACTGTGAGGTATCAGAACTGTCAAAAATAAAAGTAAAAGAGCAAGAGGCACAGAGCTTATGAGAGTTAGAGAAGACATAAGGCCTGGGATCGACCGATGAATTTTTCACTGGCAGGTAGTTTTCACTTTATCCCATTTGCTGTCACAGTACACAGTACCTGAAATAATAAGGGGATTTTTTTTTCCCCCAGTAATGGACCATGGGGGCTGGTTGCTTTGTGAGAATCTGCCAAGGCAACATGCCATGTGGCTTTATCTTTGAAAGCGAGGGTGAAACAAGCTTGCCTGGCTGCAGATAAGCGACTTAGAAGGAATCCTATTCAGATGTACCTGTCACTAATTTATCTGGAGGTTTCGTGATTCATACATACTGCTCTGTGTGCGATGAAGCATTAAATTGGTTTCCTCTGGGAGCAGGTCACATTCAGGGGTCGTCAAACCTATGCCGTGGGATGGAGCATGCTTGATTCATACAGCCTCTTGCTACTGAATTTTTTTATCTGTTAGAGGGCTGGTAACTTGAACATATGTTAGATGATCTCCTGGAACATTTCAATAGCAAAGGAGTTGACAGAAACTTAACTGTCTATTAATATGCAAGTGTTTGTAATAAAAAATTAATCAACATTCCTGCTGTTAGCATAGTCATTTATTCTGATAATTAAGTAGTTATAGATACGTTTCACAATAATGCTCTAGCTCTTGATGAATGTGTTTTCATAGCTCCCTTATTTATTGAAACAAAGGGATATGTATTTAAGTGCATTAATTTATAGTGGGGAAAAAAATGCAGAGCTGGTTTGAAGCACATCTTACCAAAGAAAAACTTTAAAAAACAAAGGGTTTTCTCATTTACAATATAGTTTTCTACTTTCTTACTCTCTATATTTTGAAAGAAAATGGCATACCTTGGAAAATGAAACATACTGATTCAAATTTGAAAGAAACATAAAAGGAAGAGATGCTTATTTACATGTTAACATTGTGCTGAGAGTCTTTCACAGAGATCTGTTTCTTTTTTTTTTTTGGATGTGAGGTATTTAGCTAATGCAAAAAAAAAAAACTTTTTCATTTTATTATTCCCATGACGGGGTATATAAAACTAAAATCTAATATGTTCTCTTGAGTTTTAAATGTGCTCCATTTTGTGTAAAATTAAGCCAATAAATGGCAAAAAGGTAGTTAAATGAAAGCAATCAGTGAGAGCTTTTTAAAGTGTTTTTAGCATGCATGACAGCAGTCTTAACTGTTGGTAAATTAGCTATATATATAAACCAATATAACTGATATGTTTTCCCTAATTTTTTAAAATTTAAAATTGTTTCTTATATTCTGTATTGCATTGTAAAACAAACTTGATCATGTCATGAAAGACCAAAAGGAAAACTTCCAACTGGAAGAAAATGATAGCTTTATGCTGCATTTATACAGTGGAAGTCTTTAGATTTTGTCCTAGTTGTGAAAATTTGGAACATTTAACATAAATTGGAATTTTCCTATTAATGAATTATAGCTACAGCATTACTACAGGAAACTACTAGATTATGCATAATTCAGAATATTTAAGTAAGATACTCTTCACATTTTCACAATTCTTAAACTGTGATCTTAAAACCTTGTAAGGTCTCCTAATAGACAAGAGTGTGAAGTAAGTATATTTAACTATTATTTTAGAATTTCAGAATACTCTAGTAAGCATTTTTCTGTTTTTGAAGTATACTACTGATATATTTATCTATTATTACTGCAGATTAAGAGCAAGTTTTGATAAGTTAGTGTAAATTCTACCAAATGTATTCATTTTCAAGATTATTTTAGCTATTCTTGATCCTTTTCCATTTCATCCTAGAATTAGCTAAGTCTTAAAATGTTTTGATTGAAATTGTTTTAAAGCTAGCATATCAGGAAAAATTGGCATCTTAATAATATTTAGTCTTCTCATTGTCGACTGAAATAAAATGCACAACCTAAAAGTTGAGAGTTATTTTTTATTCAGCATGTTTTATTAGGACTCGAGCCTGGGACTTGAGTGATCTGAGATGCTGTTCCAAAGTGGCAAGGTAGAAGCCAGGATATATGAGTTTTTGCAACAAAGACCAGGTAGCTGGGACATGAAAAGTTTTACTTTCTAATTAAAGAAAACCAGATATCCCAAGTTAAGGAATTTCAGCACTTTTCTATGTATCGGAAGGTGCAAAATTCTGCACTCATTGAAATTATTCCTTGGATATGCACCTAGCTATCTCAGGCCAGTATCCTGTTCTTTCACAGCCTGGGTTCCCTCCACTCACTGCGGGGCTGGGGGGGAGGTGGTAGTGGCTGATGACTTGATGACCACAGCATTCTTTGTTTATTCATACGGCTGGCAGTATTTTTTCATTCACATCATTTGTAAGATGGCGTAGCTCTTCTTTTATTTAAGTCTTGTTTTATTTCTCTCTGAAGCAATGCATGGTTTTCATAATAGAGATCCCACATAATTTTTAGGTTTAATTCCTATTTAATGTTTGTTGCTGTCGTTAATGGTAACATTTTAAAACGTCTATTTTTCATTGTTAGTATATAGAAATACAGTCAATTTTATACTGACCTTTTATCCTGTGAGTTTGCTAAATTCACTTATTTCTGTAAGTATTTTAGTTGACATAGCCTAAGTCCTTTTTCTTGCAAGTGTAATCCAAATGTAATTATATTTAGCTTGAATTCCTTAGACTGTGATTTCCATTCCTTTTAATTTAAAAAGTACATGTCAAAATCTCCATTATATTAATTGTTTTAATGGGAGAGGGAAGGGTTAATTGATCATGAATACATAAACAAAAAAATGCCAGGGACAGTTTCTTGGCAAAAAACAATTTAGTTGAAATGCAATTTTTAACAGTGTATTAGGATTGCGGCAATTAAGGTACAGTTAAGCCCTTTAGAAATATGAGCCCTTAGTCATTTTTGTTTCCTGACTGTAAGTAACAGAGATGAAGCACTTAGCACCTCAGTGTAAATGTGCTTTTTAATTTTTTGAAAACCAAGACATTTTTAAAAATTTCTATTTGCAGCCAATTCCTTTTGTTGACTGTATTGCCCATGATGATAAATTTAAAGCACTGAGAGGTGCTCAATGGAATGAAAGGTAACATCACTTTGTTAAAAAGCTTTGTCGAGTTTCTAACCTTAGTATCTTAGTGGAACATCCAGAAGCAACCCATGCTCCCAGTGTTGGTTTTTTTTGTTTTGTTTTGTTTCCCTAATACAATTATTTATCTTTGGATCAGTTCTGCAAAAAGTGAAATAGAGTTTCCTTTGGCATTTGTTTTCTTGTTATGGTTCCTTTATGAGTTGTGTAATTTTAAGTTTCTTGCAGCTAGAGTGCGTTTATTATAAAGATTATTCTCTTCCTAAATAATGCTAAAAACCAGACATACTGCTTGGCAAATTAAGTAGTAAATTCATCCATTTAAATCTTGTTTACACTTCTATTGTCAATATATGTTTTTTTAATTCAATAAAGACATTGTTAACTCAATAATATTAAGAGTAGGTGACATCCTTTTGGGGAACTACCTTGATAATTCTCAGACATTGCTCTAAATATGTTGAATGAACTATTTGAGACTTCCTTCATTGCCGTGTTATCTTATCCTTCTACAGTTTCACATGCATTATTGTTATATTTAGCTCTCCACTGCTTGTCATTTTATTTCATTACTCATTTCTAACTTCTTTAATGACTCATGTTAGAAGTCGTCTTTTCTGAACTTTTCTTGAACTATGAAGCCACGGTCAAATTTCCTTCTGGTTGTACCCATAGCATATTGAGATTTTTTTCCAATAGAACATATTTCAGACTACAATCAGTGCCCCTTGATGCATCTTTTTTTTTTTTTTTTGCAACAACATTTTGCAAGCTGGGAAGTCTCTGTTTTAGAGGTAAATAAGCAACACATGAGAAAAATAAACCCTACACTATCAATGGGGAAAGACAAGAAACAATATAATTGACTTTACGCTGCAGAATTCCCGAAAGTCTTAGTTATTTGTAGTACGAGGTACCCCTGGTTCGGGGGATAAATGGTGGGGTAAGGAAGAGACAAAAAAAAAGAGAGAGAGAAAAAAGAAAAAGAAAGATTAATTAAAAATGAAGAACTGTTAGTTCTCTAAATATTCTGTGTTCTAAAATCCTAAGGCAGTATCTTCAAATTTCTAATTAAGTCAGAATTTTTGTTTACTTTGAAATCATATTTTAATTATCTCAATTTCTTCCAATTTTCATTTTCACATTTTTTTAAGTTTGATTTTTGTAATTACAATTCTGCTACACTAGTTGTAGTATCCTTGGTTTGGATTAACAGCCAGACTCATGAAACACAAGAGGCTTCAACCAGCACCAGATTTACTCAGCTTCAGGAAATAATACACATTAGGTAACATTAAGCAGGGTTGAGACTAGGTTAAATCAAATGAAGCTTTCACTTTGTGTGTAAAATTTAAGGGTACACCAGTCAATTCAGTAAGCTAAATAAATTCTATTTCA